TTCACTGTACCTACATTTACTACCACTAGGAACCAGAAAGTAGTGGAACAGAATTCTTATTGATCACTTATCAGCCACTACATTAAATCCACTGGCAGGTGAAGTTGATAACACTGATTTTCTCATTACAGTGGCACCTGTTAGCAAGTGAACAGTCAGTTCCTTAAGGTGGTGCATTGGAAGCAGGAAAAATGGGCAGCATGAGGATCTGAGTGATTCTGACAAGGGCCGAACTGTGATGGCTAGATGACTGGATCAGAGAATATCCGGTAGGGCAGGTCTTGTTGGGTGTTCCCAGACTATAATGGTCAGTGGTGGTCCAAGAAAGAACAACCATTAAACCAGCAACATTCCACCTACTTAAACATTACTGTAGACCAAGTCCACCCCTTCATGGTAACGGTATTCCCTGATGACAGTGCCCTCTGTCAGCAGGACAGTGTGCCCTGCCTCACCGCAGAAAGGGTTCAGGAATAGTTTGAGGAGCACAACAAACTGACTTGGCCTCTGAATTCCCCAGATCCCCCCCCCAATCGAGCATGTGTGGGATGTGCTGGACAAACAAGTCTGATCCATAGAGGCCTCACCTCACAACTTATACAACTTAAAGGATCTGCTGCGGACATCTTGGTGCCAGATTCCAAAGGACAGCTTCAGAGGTCTGTGGAGTCCATGCCTCAATAGGTCAGAGCTGTTTTGGTGGCCAAAGGCGAGATACACATTGTTAGGTAGGTGGTTTTAATGCTGAGGCTGATCAGTGTATACAAAAAGCCAAAGAAAAACTATAACATCACAACAGCAAGCTGTTACAAAAAAGTCAAGTCAAGGATAATTTCTCATCTCTCATTCAGAGATTGTAGGTGTAGTGTTCTGATGTAGAAGCTCGGTTTTATTTTCTGTCCTAAATAGTTTTTGGTCACCATTTCTGTATATTTTACCTGTAGTGTGACTTTTGAATGTGCTGGTTTTCCTACAGTGGGACTGATGCTTTTGGCCACACACACTTGACATCATCAAAAACCCTGGATTCTAGACTGCAAACCCAGTAACAACTCAACGGTTATGCATTACATACTAAAATATTTAAAAGTTAAGGTTTACCTGTTGGCTTTTTGCTGTGCTGTCACCCACATCTCACTGACCTTTTGCCAGTCCTCAGCCGATTCTGTGATTCAGAACTAAGGAAGTTTCATTCACTGGAGAAGAGCATAAGATGTGACCAAAAGCTCCAGAAAATGGCAGTAAATGTTCTCTTGAGTGAAAATACGATTTAAAAGCATTCTGGTAGGAGAATCCAAACAATATTATGGAGTTGGCTGACTGGTGAATATTATTAGCTACAGTTGTGCTTTTGTTGCTCTGAGAAGGTTTGTTCTATTAGATTGTGCTAAGACAGTCCTAAGTCAAACTAGCTGCCTGCTAAGGATTATTACTTTCATCTTTATCTCCAAATAATCTGGCAATGTGACTCAGTATTCAGCTATTATTTTGGTACTAACTACTTCCAAATTGTGTCGTGAAAATGATTCCTACACTGTATGAACTAGTATTGCTGTTAATAATAAATAATAGATGTGTCATCAATCCTGTATCATGGTTTCTAAATGTATATTGTAACAGTTAGTCTATGTGATTCCACGATGTCTCATTCAGTGTGTCGCTACATATCATCGTACTTTATTAGTATCAGCAGTGATGCATGTGAAGTCACTGAACTGATTTGAATCCATTGAAGTGAAGTTATGCAGCTGAAGGAGAGAGCAGGGGCATAATACTTCTTCACAAGAGGTGACAGAGTGACTGAGACCTCTGTGTGTTTAGAGAAGGATATGGGCCACTGGTCAGGCACCAGTGGAGATAATTAAGTGACTGATTCCCGCATAATTAAAGGTGTTTTATGTTAATGAGGCAGAGTAATGGCAGATGGCCTCCTGGATACAGTTTCTAAGCTGAACAATCATTGCAGCTGCTTGAGACTCTGGCTAATGTCATAGATACAGACGGCACAGTCTGTGCTCTGTTTCCTTACACCAAATGGTGTGCAAAAGTATGGTAAAATAATATTTATCAAAAGAAAAAGTATGGGATATTTATTAACCTGCACATTACCCCTGTCTATAACACTCTTTTTCAAACACACACAGCCATAAACAAAATGTATTGACCTGTCCATCAAAAGTGTGCAATTAGTTTAAACACCTGGGCTTCACTCTTCTTAAATGTTCTATCCATCCATCAGAGGGCTCAAAAAATCAACTAAAAAGAGCAGATATATGAGTCAGTATGTTCCATCTGAACGTTTCTTAAATCTATTAAGAAAAGTGAATTAAGAAGTGATGAGAACTTGTTACATGACAGCCATGCAGGAACAACCAGAGCCACTTACACAATGTTTTCTGGGGGGCAAGCAGAAAATTCTAATAATGGAAAAGGTCAGTTATGAAATGTAATTGTCATCATACCGATTTCTCCGCTGGAATCCCTACAGTTGATGTCTGCCTTGGGACTGTCTGCCTTTCAACTGTCTGACAGTTAATTCGCAAGCAAAGTCACAGGAGAGCTGAGCACAGCGGCAGAACGGAGCTGTCAATCACACGTGCGCATACACAACAGTGAGCACCTATCTATCCCTGGGACATGTTATAATGATCCTTCCATATGAGTGGGTTAGTCATGCAGCAGATGGGTGTGTTTGTGAAGGATGGTGGTTTAGGGCATTTTTAAGAGAGAAACAGAACTATGTTTTTTCTTCTTCAAATATCCAAAGTCTGTAGCTGTTTGAAGTCTTATTTAAGTTTTTATCAGATATTGAGTTTGTTTTTAATTATTGAAAAAAACGTAGAAAAATGAACTGGACTAGGTTTTTAGGTAAGTTTGTTCAGCTTACTATGACCTGGATGACCGAGAATCTGTACGGACATGTTTTTAATTATTGTTCAGTTTAAGCCTGTAGTAATAAGGAGGTGGACAAGGTGATGAATAAGGTTACCATGTTTAATAGTCACTAAGTCCACTAATTGTGTGGATGCTGAGTCAGCATCCACACTACTGTGATCCCGTTTCTTTATTATTCAGCTTTATTCAAAAATTTTTTATAATGGAAGTCAATGGGACAATCTTTCTCCTCTTTCAGCCTTAATAATGTCAGCATACTTTCAGTAGAAAAACCATAAAAAAAAACCTTTAAACAAGTCAGGACAAGTTCAGCTATTCATCTTGTATTCAGCTTTTGATATCTTTTACAGGTTTTGAATTATCGCAGTTTACGTTTTATGGTGATTTTGGACATTTCTCAGCCTTTCCATTCATTTGAATGGGGGCACACTAGCTCGTGTGTCACATGACTAACTGCCATTCCCCACCCTTCAGCCTTTTTACAATTTTTCAGCCTGTTCTCTGCTCTTATTCTGCCAACCTTAAGCTTCCACACACTAATTATACATGTAAACAGTAGAGAAAATTGTGAGGAATAAGAAAATGCCCTTGTTATTGTGATAGGATGAACTTTTTTAATGAAGTGGCAAATTCCAGTGAGAGTGCTGTCTCACTCTCCCTCAGACCCTATTGTAAATAAGATTCAGAAAATCTCCTTGAAGCAAAAGTAAGGGAATTGTAACTCACTACAATTCCTTCATTTTATGGAATATCTTCACATAAAGGGGATCAGTGTGTTTGTTGAAGCCTCCTGCCGCTCAAAGTATGCAGCCTACAATACATTCAAAAACTGAGTTTTACACTGCGTTTAGTCTAAATTTTAAATCTTTTAAGATGCGTTTCTCTCTCAGAATTATTCACATAATCTCAATAGGCCTAACTAATAGAAATGTTCCATCATTGTGACCAATAAGAGCACAAACAATGATTATTCATAGACCAGAGTCTTGTGGGTGCAAAGCTGTTTTAATTCAGGCCTACACAAGAATGATTTGTTTGAGGATTTTCAGTCAGGATTTAGAGTCCATCATAGTACAGAAACTGTACTGGTGAAAGTCACCAACAATCTCCACCTAGCCTCAAAGGACTCGTCTCCATTCTTGTCCTCTTAGATGTCAGTGCTGCTTTTGACACCATTGAACGCATCATGTTATTACAGAAACTTGAACATGTTATTGGGATTAAAGGAACTAGACTAAGTTGGTTCAACTCTAATTTATCAGAAAGATTCCAGTTTGTTCCTGTTGATGATGAATCTTGAATCCTGATGCGTTACTCATCCCCGCAGACAGGCAAGGATGTATTGGTCGCCAGGTCGTCCCGTCGCTACTGGAAACCTGTTGCGGATGAGGGGAAAGGTGTGGCCCTCTTATGCCATTTGCAAATTGAGCATACTGAGTCATAATCACAAATATTACAGAATGAAACACAAAATAAAGTGTTAAAGCAGGCATTCAAAAAGAGTTGTTAATGTGATCAGAAAAGATTTGAGGTATATCAATGGGGGTCAAAGGTGAGTTTAAAGTGACCTGTGTGGTATTTTAATATTAGCTGCAATCTTTTTCTTCCTACTTTATCATGATGTTACAGTTCTGGCATATTCTGCATTTGACATTTTAATAAATAACAATATGCAGTATGGACACCCAGTGGGAAATCAATATTAACTTGTCTACAGATGGACTAATAGATGTTTTGGATAACATGAGGTGCGATAGGCTTCTAAAGTGGTCATCCTTTTGTGTGTTTTAGTGGCAAGCATTAGACCAGAATCAGAATCAGAATCAGCTTTATTTCCCAGGTGTGTTGGACACGAGGAATTTGACTCTGGTACAGCAGCTCCCATTGTGTATGTACATATCCTTATGTAAATCAATAGCAAAGGGCAAGTAAACAATATACCAATATAAGGCTGTATAGTATAACAAATTAAACAGTATAAACAAAGCAATAAACAATGCAAATAGACAAGTAATGTTCATTAGGAATGAGATAAAAATAGAGTACTTAAAAAATGGAGACCTGTATGGATCTGTATAATCTGTACAATGTATATTTACAGGTATTGCATTGAGGGTTATTGTCCAGTCATACTGTTGTGGGTTAAGTGTTAATTAGAGTGACAGCTTGGGGTAAGAAACTGTCCTTGTGCCTGGTTGTCTTGGTGCACAGTGACCTGTAACGTTGTCCAGAGGGGAGGAGTTCAAACAGATTGTGTCCCAGGTGTGAGGGGTCTTCTCCACCCTCCAGCTCTGCTGTCTCACCTTGAGAGACACAAATCTCCTCAGAGCTCTGGGAGGACGTGACAGTCTATGAAGGGGTCAGAGTGACTCTGCAGAGCAGTCTGAAAACATCTGACTTATATAATGTCCTCAGTCAAATGTCAGCCTCCAAATGGTGTGTAGTGTCTCCACCTGGTGGAGATCAGTGAGGAAGGCAGGTGCTGAGACAGCAGTTGAACGTGTTTTGAAAACGTAGGTTTATTTGCTTTTTTGTTATGAAGTCGATCAGCCAGATCAGTACCTCTCTGTATACTAAGTATCAAGCCACAAGTGTGAAGACTGATGGACAACACTAAAACATATTGTATCTCAGTATGGTGCAGCCTGTTGCTTAATGAAAACTGTTCAGTGCCTAGCAGCTTTCAAGAGTCAAGGATAAAGTCCAACTTTGAACGCGTGTGCAGTTTGTGGAATCAGTGTATCTTCTGATCAGTGCATTACGCCTGACCCCATGCCGTATTTTGCCAGTCAGGTCATTGTTGTAAATTCATATTTATATTGAGGAAAGCACAAAGGTTTTGTATTTGTAATTTCTTGAAGTTGTAACTTTTTAAAACTTATTCTGTCAGGCAAAATACACACTACCTATTATATGTATGATTTACAAGAGTTTACAAAAACAGAGTTTTGCATACAACTTATTTGTTTGTGCACAGCCATAGGCTAATACACGTGCATATTATTGCCAGCTGTCTTACCTCATATGAGACTGATGCCAAAATAGAAAGACTATGGCAGGCAAATGCTAATTTTCAGATTTAGAATGAGGTTCAAAGACACAGAAAGACATACAGAAGGGTTATGTTTGGGATCAGAGAGTACAACTGTTTCAAGCTCAGCTCAGGCTCTAACAAAGAAACAGGTTCAGGCTAAAGTTCAGACAAAGCTAGATTTAGAGTCAGGTTTAGGATTGTATATGGAGACATTATTACATTCACACAGTAAATTTACAGTATGGACAATCTGACAAATATTGAGCACTGTATCACATATAAAGAACATTGTATAAGGGCTACATAGCCAATTTCAAAGCAACAAATAAATTTGTATTTTAAACCAAATACCTAATATTTCATGTATAAATCTAGTAGATGAAACAAGGGAAGAATGACAAATGAAAAGTGATTGAGACAATATGTGCTAAAAGAACTGAAGGGCTGTGTAGATATCAAGCTCTTGTAGCAGTAGTTTGCACCTAAAATCTCTCTTTTGTCAAGGCATTTCCAGAAAGGAAAAGACCTTTGACCAAATTGCTTAGGCTTATACATATATGTAAGGTACAGATATGAGAGCTGTATGAGCTGGTCTCGGCTAACAACGAAAAATATACACAAAATACTGATCTTTTAACACGTATTTCAAATTGAGGTTATATGCTCCTAAACATTACGACCCCGAACCCTGTTGCATGTTTACCTTTAAAGAGAGCGATGACGTCACGAGGAGTGGAACGGACCAACGGTTCCTGTGATGTGCTTATGACGTCAGAAGACGATTAACTGGGCTGATTTGCTCTTTCACTCAGACAAGCTTAACAAACCAAGGTAACAAAAGCAGTGTACATTTAGTTAAATTCACGAAACGCGAATAACGGTCAAACAGAATGAATAAGCCTACAGTAGAAATGCTTGAGTCACAGGACTTGACGGACATTGAACTAGAAAAGGTTATTGTTCCACAGATAGAAAGTATTTTCACACAGTTGAGCAGGCATCAGATAGAACTGCTAAAGTCTGGCGAGCCCGATGATTTCGCAAAAGGCTTGTTTGCGAAGTTGCTGCTGGATCTTATTGAAAGCCTGACGAAGGCACGAGCTGAGGCTCTGAATGACAACGGTGTAGCCGTGCTACAGCATCTCCTTATTTCAGATTTATCCAAAGCACTCGCTGTGAGTTTTTCCGAGACCTTCCACATTAAACAGGCCTGTGCAGACCAACTGGCCGACGTAATTGTAACGGAGGTCAAAGGAAGCCTTCAGTCCCTGTCCGATTTCGCAAAAGGCTTGTTTGCGAAGTTGCTGCTGGATCTTATTGAAAGCCTGACGAAGGCACGAGCTGAGGCTCTGAATGACAACGGTGTAGCCGTGCTACAGCATCTCCTTATTTCAGATTTATCCAAAGCACTCGCTATGAGTTTTTCCGAGACCTTCAACATTAAACAGGCCTGTGCAGACCAATTGGCCGACGTAATTGTAACGGAGGCCAAAGGAAGCCTTCAGTCCCTGTCTAGTGAGGACTGCGTAACCATTCTTTGCACACCAACTGATACGACTTCGGTCCATGGATCGGGGACTGAGACACTGGCACAAGAACAGTCCCTAGACATCAACGTTGTGGAAGATAGGACACCTTCCTCAGCTGCCAGTGTTTCTGCCGCAGTATATGTGGAACCTGGGGAGGGTCTAGAACTACAGACAAAGAAAAAGATGATGTTTGTCAGGTTGCTGTTGGAAAAGCTGGTCTCAAAGACATACAAAGAAGCAAAAATTGACATTAGATTAGGAAAGCCAGAAGCCATTATTGAGGAATTATATGATGAATCACTGGCAGAGGTGAAAAACATCGACTTTGACACCAGCAGAAAAGGCAAAAAACTCTACAAGGCCATTTTCAAAGAACTTCATGAGAATTCGAACAATTCATATATGCAACTTCTGGTTTCCATGCAAACAGATTCAAAAAAAGTGGCAAAATGCATTGCCTCATCTATCAGATCTCACCTGACAAAACCAAAACAGTGTAACCCCACCTCCAATTTCTTCTCACCTCTACTTGGCCAAATCTTCAGACAAACAAACAGAGTTGGGATTGTTTAGGTGAATGTAAGACTCATGGTGTCTCTTTTTTCCCTTCCAGAGTCTAATAAAGAGTTCCAGTCCTGCCTCACATCAAGGTTGCCTTCTGCAGAAGTAAATCCCCACCAAAACATTTTGGTGGGGATTTACTTCCACAGCCTCCTGGTTTCCTGGTTGTGAGGCAGTTCTTGGTCTCAGGTCACCCCAGTAGACAACTGTTTGACAGATAGATAACCAGGATCCTTTCTGAGTGTTACAGTTGTCTACTAGTGCTGTCCCTGGTAGGCCAAAGGTTAAGGTGCAGCACTCTCGCTATGGCACCCCAGGTTCGAATCAGGGTTGCGTCAGGAAGGGCATCTGGCGTAAAACACGTGCCAAATGTCATCATGCGAGTTGACCATGTGATGATTTGCTGTGGCGACCACTAAACAGGAAAAGCTAAAAGTGACTTTCAACAGTTGCCTGTTGTGGGTTTTCTCCAGGAGCTCTGGTTTCCCACTCTTAAAAAAAAGAACATGCAACTGATTCTTAATTTGGACTTATTTTGGCTCTTTAAGTTGTACTTCAAAATCATGAAATCAAATAAAAACATTTGAATACATCAAATTAGAGATTTATTATTGCTTTATTTATTATTGAGGTCTTAGTTAAAGGTGCACTGTAAAACCCAATAATTTAAAATTATTTTTTGAAATTGATGACATCAAAAATTTTTAATTGAAACCAACTTCATTTTTATTAAGTATATGTTACTAGGTATTTTTAAGTGTCACTAACTTACAAATCTAAGTTAAAGAAACACTTTTCTGTAAGTATGTTTTCTATACAGTATGTCACTTTATCAATATATCTATTGTGACATAATAATTTTTATGGAAAATCACAAACACAGTTAAACTGTTTATGGATGAAATAACCAGATGGTCAAATGTGTTTGATTAATTCAGCTACTTAAATACCTTACAAAGACAAGGTACATGACATCTGAGGTGGAAATTTGTAAGTCATGATAATCACTAAACACTAAAATCATGTAAAATCAATATTGCCATAAACATTTCTGAACACTTATTTACCACATTGCCCATAATGACCTAATACAACTATAATACCAAAGAACCAAAGAAATGGCTACTGCAATATAAACAGTATGACAAAGCATTTGTTATACTGTTTTGACACATCCAGTGCAAACAATAATTCCTCAAGTTGACCTGTAGCACAATTCAACTTTAAGCTGAAGATTATTACTTTAAAATCACATTTCAAAAAAAGCTCCTTTTGTAGTTCTATAATGTGCCAAGAGTGACAGTAGTGCAGCAGATATCATCTGGGCTTAATTGCAAGACCAGTGCTGGCATCAGTAAACTGGTAACATTGCAGTAACTCTAATACATACACCCATCACACACTGTCATCTTGGCAGCCTTGAAGAAAAGAAACAAAAAGCCCATTTCCAAAACTCACAGCCAACACATGCTGCATGATGTGAAGCCAGTAACTTGGCAGCTGCCACTCTGACCTGCTTGCTCATCACCACAATAACTCTCAGCAGCTAATTTATCCTTTTGTAAATCCTACCCGGCTGATGTCAAGATGGCTGTGAATCAAGAGGAGAAATCCATTATGTGTACAAGCACTGATGCCTGCTAAGTTGAAACACAGTTACCTGAGGATGTGTCTGCCACACTGCTTCACTTTCAGCATGTTTTCAGTCTTGCACGTCTCTGCAGTCTCTTTGCAGCTGCTACCCACCCAAAACTCCCAGTACCCCATAGTGTCTGCTGACCGACCACCTGAATTAGATAAATCAAAAATCAACTCCAGAGGAGTTATTCATTATAACCTAATTAAAATTAAAACTACCACAATCAAATGTGGACTATTACATATCAAATCTCTGTCAGTGAATGATTTGATAAGTGAACATCACACTGATTTACTCTGATCTATGAATAATCATTGTTTATGCTTATTGGTCACACTGATGGAACATTTCTATTAGTTAGGCCTGTTGATCATTTGGGAGATTATGTGAATAATTCTGAGAGAAAAATGCATCTTAAAAGACTAAAAGATTTCAAATTTAGACTAAACGCAGTTTAAAATTCATTTTTTGAATGTACTGTAGGCTGCATAGAGTTTTAAATTGTTTTAATTGTATTTGTTATTGTAATTAAATTTGTTCATAATTACCATTCACCACACCCTAACTGTTCGTGTTATATCCGAAGACCTGTATAGGTTTTCCTGTTTTGTTCCCCGCCTTGGCTATCTTTGGACTGTTTGCTCTTGGTTTTGGACTTGTCTGCTGTTGTGGATTTTCAGTTTTGTGCCTTCAGGTTTGTTTGAGTTTTTTTTACTTTTGCGTCCATTTGCTTAGCTCCCTTACTGAATAGCTTGTTGTAGATTCTGTCGACATTCTCTGTTGCTTGTCAGGTGAACCTCTTGTGTTTTTTGCCCTAGTCCTATGTTCAAATCATTTATTAAAAGTCTGCGTAAGCAACGCCTTGGCCTGGGTCTGCATATTTGGGTCCTTCCTATGCTTTTAAACTTAACACTTTCTCAAACCAAGTGGAGTAAAATAATTCTACTGCTTCACTTTCACTAAATTAAGTTTCAGTAACTTGAAATGAGAGAGAATAAAGACACCATTGTGGATAAGACACAGATCCCACAGCCAAGGGTACATAAGCACAGTACCAGCTGGACCCTCCCCTGTGGCCAGTGGCCTGATGGTTACATACCATATACCCAACATCCATGGTTTGATTTCCAGCAGGTCGACCTTGGTGGCATGTTGTTTCTCCCTCTCTGCCCTTATTCCCTGTCTCACTTTAGACTGTTAACAGGCAAATAAAATAATGATCTGACAAAAATGACATGTCAGTATAAAGAATCATTTATGCCCTTACACAGTACAAAGTGTTAGACAACACATGTTTTTGTTGGAGTGGTTAGAAGTCGGACAGAGCAACAGGTTCAAGCTTTCAAACAGACAGATTACACATAGTTGACATATTGTTAATAAAAATATTGAGCAGTACAGTCTGACTGACCACTAATGAACATGTCTTTATTAGATACAACTTTAACAAATACAGTTCCTTTCCTACTTGATGTCTGAACAAAATCTACTTTAAGATTCTTAACAGAACACAAGGGTTAACATCACAAAATCATATTTCCAGCACTCCGACATAATATTTGTGTCTGTATTTTTTGTCACATGCAGGATCCTGTCACATTGTGATGTAAATACATTTTCTCTGGCTATTCACTGTCAATATACCTCATTCAAACTAAAGCAGAGTGACAGCTGCAGTCTCACTCATTAACGTATTTATCCATCCATCCATCCATTTCCTATACCGCTTAGTCCCAAATGGGGTCACAGGTGGCTGGAATTAACATATTTATTTACATTTTAATGTAAAGTTTTATTCACTGGCTTACATAGATGTCGCAGACTGTGTGCTCTTGATGGGAAAAATAGTATCCTACCCTAAAATATAGTACATTTCTGTACACTAAAACTAGACTAAAATGTACAATAATCAAAAAATTAAAATGTGACTGAAACACATTTCAATAAAAACATTGAAAAGCCTCTCATTTCTTTTTCTACAGATACAGCATTATTTTGAAAGCTGCCAACATAAAAGTATAGTGTATATGTACCATATGCATGTACTGTATATTTACACCTTTGTAAATGCTTTAAAATTTGTCTCACTTTGTAAGAATGTACCTCTTTTTAAAGTAATTTTAAATTAGTATACAGCAGAATGAAGAAGAATGTGTTTGTTTTCATTTTTACCTTTTATATCCAAAAGTTGCAGTTGTATTCATCACTGTTACTAGCAGTAGCAGGGTTTTTATGTGTTTAGCTTTTAACATGGCAGCCAGGTGAATGTCATAAGTTTCAGCTTTCCCAGAGGTAGTTTCTGTTTTCTGCTCATCATAAAAATATTTTCAGGAGCACTTGAAGGTTGCATCATAATAGCTGGAAGAGGAGAGGTTTTCCATGGTGGTGCAAGGCAAGGGATAAAAAAAAAAAACACTATACAAAATGTTACCCCTTAACTCATTTTTCAGGCTCAGCTGGAGCTCAGTTTCTACAATGCACCAGGCTTTATAAAGAATTCAGGCTACACAGCAAACACTTTCTTTTCAGTTTATCACACTTCCACTTTTAAATAATCCAAAGGTGGGCGGAATCAATAATGCATAGAGCCTGGGAAACGGCTGTAGCTATTAGGAGGCTCCCGGAGCGGCACATCTGACCAGAGCTGGGCTTAGGTGGATTCCTTCACCACTCACACTACTCTGTAGATTGCTCAGAAACAGAACATCCTGTTAAAGCAGGTAACCTTTAGCTGGCTTAATTTGTTGATGTCCTTCCTCTGACTGCTTCTCCAAGCTGGGCTTTGTACTTTGCTCAGGTGAACATGATGACACTTCAAGATAAAGTTCAGTTTAAAGTGGAAGGCATGCCCTTTTAACCATGGCCACTTTGCTGATAGAGAAATTATATAGCCTGACAGACATTGGCTCCTCTGTGGTTGTAGCAACACTTCCAGAGGATACAGCTTCTGTGATGTGCACAGGCTCTAGCTAAAACATCTTGTTTTATGCCCTTGACCACACATTCAGATGTACTGTAGGTAGTATAATGGTGATGGCACTTTGGCAACACATTGGCATACTATTTTGGATGGCACAAATTCATCACAGATGAAGATTTTGCCATGGTTATGGATGACAACTTTCACATTGAATTGAATGGGGAAGTGTGTCCAAACCTTTGACTGGTAGTGTTAAGTAAAAGTCCTGTATCCAAATGAAGCAAGAACCTTTTTAATTTGTGTGGCAGTCTCATCTGATATTCTCTATATGGATGGATTTAAGGCCTACACAGGTGTTGGTCCCTGACTACGTTTGGATTCTCCCTCAGATACACATGGTCCTGTATTGTTGCAGGTGATAGACATTCACCTGTAGGCAATCAATACAATGCAATCCAGTCCAGTCCAGTCCAGGCCAGTCCAGTCAATCCAATCCAATCCAATCCAATCCATTCCAGTCCAGTCTAGTCCAGTCTAGTCCAGTCCAATCCAGTCTAATCCAATCCAATGAAAATTTATGCTGTGTTTCCTAATAATATTACCTAGAGCAGGCATGTACAAAGTGCAGAGAATTAGACCTAACACAGAGCCCTCTGGTACAGCATAACTAACATTAGTCTGTGTGGAAGATTCAACATTAACATGAACAACATGTGTAACATCAATCCATCCATTCATTATCTATCCCACTCACCCTGAACCGGGTCACGGTTGGACTGGAGCCAGTCCCAGCTGACATTGGGCAAGAGGTGGGGTCCATCCTGGACAGATCACCAGTCTTTCACAGGGCTGACACTTAGAGACAAACAACCACACACACTCACTCCTAGAGGAGATTTAGAGTCACCAATCAACCTAAGATGCACATCTTTGGACTGTGGGAGGAAGCTGGAGTACCCGGAGAGAACGCACACAGGCGCAAGGACAACATGCAAACTCCACACAGAAAGGCCCAGGGTCGGCCCAGGCTCGAATCCAGAACCTTCTTTCAGTGAGGCGATAGCTCTAACTAAGGCCCAGGGTCGGCCCAGGCTCGA